TTAATCAGTAAGAAAAGGATGAGCTTTTGACTTTAGGATATATATTTTCATCTTCTCCAAACCATAAAAAGAATGGAAAAAAATGCAGGGGAGTATAGAGAGCTGCAAGAGTTAATAAGGAATCTAGACAGACTTTGATATTTATCTTGCTGGGCTTTTCTGGTTTCTACTGAGGTGAAGAAAGCATTGACTATGAGAAACTGGCTAACACTAGATTTCTGAGTTGTTTGTGAGAGGATGTGTGGCCAGGTAGCTGTGAGGAGGGCGAGCGGCTTTTTAGGTGTGATGTTTCTGCTCCTAGGGCTCTTCAGTGAGAGTGAATAGCAGTTTAGCCAGTATCCCAGGAATCTGCTCTGAACTTCTCCCTCTGCTCTGAACCACTGTGAGTGCTGGGTGCCTTTCAGGAGGAGGCGAGGTATTTGAGGCTTGTGGCTCTGCRCTGGGTGGCATAGAGCGCCACACATAGCATAGAGACATGGTTCCCTTAGCAGYGTGTTCGAATCTAGCCTTTTGCTTCAAATCAAATTATAAAACTGCMTTATTTACCTCCAACAAGCCATGTTATTGTTAGTAAAAGGCCCTTTATGTACTTGTAATAGTGATTCATCTACTAGCATGTGGCTGATGAGCCACATACCGCCCCTGGTTTATCTCGGAGGCTCCGGCAGGTGTGTTTAAAACCCGTAACACGCAGGCCCGCCACGACCTGGCAGCGTGGGGCTCGGCAGGCTCGCGGGGCTGCCACAGACAGGCCTCTCTGGGGATGTAATTACATGAGTGCTAGCCAGGAGAAGAGATAACAAACTTGCCCTGGCAGCAGAGTAATAAGTAAGAGCAGCTGTCTCCCTCAGCAGGGATAAAAGATAAGTGAGAAGTGACAGATGAGTGCGGGAGAAATCCCCTTCCCTGACTGTCTTGCTGCCCTAGTCTAACGAGGACTCCTGACCGCAGAGCTGGCTCTGCTYGTGCAGGTGATTTCCTTCCTTAGCAACAAACTGATGCCCAGCTCACCATGGACCAGGTTTGCAGTCATCTTGGCACATTAGCTGGTGGATTCTATGCCATTTCTCTGTAAGATAAGTTTTTTGAATAGTAAATTCTAATCCCAAAAGTTTGTCTCTTTGGGTCTAGCCCATGTCTCTCATTTTCATTTTGGTCTCCCCTAGAATATGTGGTTTGTCACACAGAAATATTTAAACCTTTCCAAAAGGCCATTTGTTGAGATCTTTTTAGCACTCACACAGTGCACATCCCTCAGCCTGAGCCCTTGTACCACGYGGATGCTGGCAGTAGTGGTGCCTTCTACCACACAGTTTTTCATCCACACTCTATAGTTGCTGGTTTCTGCTAGATTTGAAATAATTATCACTACAGCAGGCATTTCTTTTTTTTTTTTTTTGCCCTTGGAGCAGCATACTGAACATTTCTTGTTCAGGGGGCAATTTCTTGTGTATTCTTGCTCTGTCTGACCTCAAGTTTTAGCATCTTTCTGGAGTTGCTGAGGGTAGAGACTTMATTTTTAAGCAAAGGTTGCCCTCTAGTGCGCAATGAATTAATAGCTTCCACGGTGTGTATTGTTGAAAGGAGGCCACGAGAGAGCATTAAAGCCTGTTTCAGAGTAGAGCTGTGGCATTGAAATTTGGGAGAAAAAACCATCCTGAGGATAGAGGGCTTTCACAGACCTTTATGAAGAGGCCCAAGCACTCAGCATAAAGTTGTAGATGAACATAGAGAGAAAGTTTGGAGACAAGGCTTAAACAGGTGTTCCCACCAGGGCAGCAACAAGCTCCTTGGGCCTGACTCCAGTTGGGTGGCTGGAGCTGGCTCCAGGCAGGAGAAAGAGAGCACGAGTTGTTAAGCATCATAAGCATCACTTTCAGTATTGTTCTTGTGTGCCACGTTCCCAGCTGTAGCCATAAGGTGCAAGAGACCAGGGTGTTCCCTGTATAGTGACAGTTCATGTAGTGCTTGTGGCCTTGTGAGGGAAGAAGAGTGTCTGTGGGCCCTGGGAAAAGGAGCCACTTTTCACTGCAACCCTGCTTGTGGCCTTGTGAGGGAAGAAGAGTGTCTGTGGGCCCTGGGAAAAGGAGCCACTTTTCACTGCAACCCTGTGTCTTTCAGAAAGCTGGAAGGTCAATGTCTGTGAAGAATATTATCTCATGAACCCTTAGCACCAAACAAGTGCAACCCCTTTGCTCTTGTGTTGTGGGATGGGCAGCCTGTGCCTGGTAAGTGATGGTTTGACTGGCTTCTGTGCAGTTTCACTCGCATGTGAAACCCCCAGGGCTCTGCCAGGGTCCTTGGCACAGCAGGCAGGAATGGAAACATGCCCAAATTCTGCCCTTTGTGGGGAAGGGGATCAGCTCCTATGTAAAAGCTGGCTACCCAAACACAAGAAAATATAAGAGGCTACTGCTATGTTCTGTTTGAGGCAGCTGTTAACATAGACTAAGATGTCACAGTTCTATGCACAGCTCTTTCCATAAATATTAAATGTTGGAAAAAAAACACAAAAGAGAAAAGCTAAGGCCAGTAGGAAGGAAGCAAGCAATAAACCCAGTAATTGTCTATATACAAATGCAGAGTATATGGGAAATGAGCTCAAAGTGACATTACAGGAAGGAAATTATGACTTGGCTGGTAATACAGAAATGTAATGAGATAAATCAGAGAGCTGAAATGTTAATATTGATGAGTGCAATCTGCACAGAAGGGACAAAGGAAAAATGAGAAAAGGTTGCAGTGTACATCAGAAGCTTGTGTGCAAGCTGTGCAGCACAGGTGGATAATGAAAGTGGTAATGGTGATATTTTATGATTCAAGATGAGAAAGAGACAATAGAAAGAGAAACATACAGGTAGCTGCAGGTATAGATCATTGACTTGGCATGATGAGACTGATAAACTGCATCTGGAAGAGATTTCAGAGCTGACAGTTTTGTGGAAAGACCTAGCATTGTGGGGGCAACATCACCACACTGACATTTGTTACCTATGCAGAGAGGGATATTAATTATCAGTGCACTGTGGAAAAGTTCCACATTTTCAGAAAGCTGCTGAAAAATAAATCCTTTTTGAATCCAGTATTGCCCACTAAGGAAAACATTTGAGGAAGTGATAATTCATGAGCTACTAATGTTCACTGAGCTAGAGCCACATGAAGTCCTTATGATGTGGAAGCAGTGAGACTTGGTTATAAGGAACAATAGGATTGTTCCTATTCCAGTAAAGCAACCCTTTACTGAGGTTGCTATATGCAGGGAACAGCTTACAGCCAAGTTCTTTTCTTAATTCTTCAATCACTTATCTTTATATTGTAGAACAATAAGGGAATACACTTCAAGAACCAACTAACCAAACAAACAAACTAAAAAGAGGGAAAACAAGAAAAGAGGCATAAAGGTCAAGTTCCTGTTTTGGTTTCTTAGCACTACTCTGGCCAACTAAAGTAGCCCTAAATGAGGCTTAACTGATTATGATGCTTTGCATTAGCTGAATAGCACAAAGTAGCAAAAACCAACAGGTAAGCCCTGGAAGAGAAAAAGATGATATTCTAAGAGCAGAGATTAACACTGCAACTTATAAGTGCATAGCTGAAGGCTGTGTGAAGGTAAGGGCAAAAAGGCAGAAATACTGCAAGATAATTAAAGGGGAAAAAAGCAAAAGTGAAAGAAAGGGAAGATAAAAACATTAAATCACRTGCACAGTAATATGCAATGACTGCACCTCCCTGTCAGTAGTACAAGCTACTCAACAAATATTTGTGATAATCTCTGATTTAAATCTACAGGTAGCAAAATGTTTTCATTGACTAGTTACAGTTTAAAATTAATTGCCTTCAGCCAAGTTTGTGCCCCAGTTTATCTGCTAGTAATAAGTAGTTGCTTGACCAGTCTTTACTTTTGGAAAAGAGAATGGAAAAACAATATTTAAAGCTGCACCTTGGGGTAGTTTAGAGTTCCAGGTTATGTATGCAGCAACTGACACATTGACACTGCAGGGGTAGGCGTGCTTGATGAGGAAAATACAGTGACAGTATCATCCAAGTTACTTGACCTCTTGCAACTAAACCAGCTTAGCTCATTTTGGCATAGTTGTCATTAATCCATAGACAAACATTTGTAGTGTGAATCTGAGTAAAGTATATCAGCAAAATTGTGCAAGAAGCACAAATCTACTTACAGATACTTTGAGTGATGATAAATTGACTTCATTCACTTCATGAATAATTTCTGGTTGATTCCTCCATTTAAGCCATGTAGCATAATAAAGAAAGCTCTGCTCTATTTAAGATTCATATCAGAAATCCAGGCATGAGTTCCCTGCTTTATTTTTCTGGTGTCATCTTCCAGTTCCTTTTGTACGATTAATGGGGCGGGTTCTTTTTATTTGCGTGGGAACAGGTCTGAAAATGCATCTGGAGCTAGTCCATAGAGCTCCACTGCAGTAAGCACTGTAAATATATGCAGAGAAAAATGCTAGGCCCAGCAGCTTTTCYATTTAACTGGTCCAGATAGCCAGCCAGCGGAGAATGGAGTTGCTGATGCTGAAGGGAAGTGGCCAGGGCCAGAAGGCAGGACAGCTGGAAAGGAAGCACTAGTCCCTCATTCCTAAGCTGGTATGGCTCTACTCCCTCACACTGCCATTTTCAAGAGATTACCTTGGGGCTTTATACTGAATCCTTGTGACCCCCAAAATAAAACCCTTATTTAATGCTTTCTCAGCTCAAAGTAAGTTTTGTATATTCCTACCTAAGCCTTAAGTATCTGCCCTAAGGAACAGTGTTTTAGCCAGGGTTAGCACAACAGGATTTCTAGTTTGTACGCACCATGCAACAGGATTTCGTTGCTCTATGTTTTAATGATTTTATATTTTGTATACAATATTCTCCTATCATGCCAATAAATTAAAAATTATCTTAGTAAAGTTCATGATTTTCAGGTTATGATTTTCAGCATAAAGTATGGCAACAGAGACTATATTTACATTGAGATTACTCACCTGAAACTGTGGCCTAATGAATTTGAGAAAGCTCAAGTCAGCCACTGTTTGAGCACTAAAGTCAGCCATTCTTTGAGCTTATAAAAATCCATGTGGCTTGGGAGATGTTCTTGCTCTCTTTGGAGTTGCCTAAGAAATGATTGATAATAATTTCAAATAATAAATAATGATTAGGAAGAATAGAAAAACATCTGCAGCACTGAGCTATGCAATATGTAGGCCAGGCCATTACATCACAGCTGTCATATTTGCAAGACTGAATAGAGACAAGAAAAAAAAAAACAGTAAATCACACAAACTCGGGCTTCTTCCTAACTTCATCATGTTCTTTGTTGTTGTTGTTTGTTTGCTTGTTTGACAGTGGTTTTATGTAAAGACCATCTATCACACAGAGCACATCAGTGGGTCTCATCCTGCACGATGCTGAAAGATGTTGTGTAGAGGCTGGGAAAGGAGTAGGTCCTTAAGAAGTGCTCATGAAGAGATGAAACCATTCAGTGCCTTGTTGCACTGATTGCTGGAGGAGGGCAAAAGGTGTGCGATTCTGCCAAGGTGCTGCTTTGCACAATCCCAGCCTAGGAGTCAAGCATAATACTAATACAGAAAAGCAGTGCTTTCTGCTTAAGGTTTGTTGTGAGAAGGATTTTAATGTAGCCATAGCAGAAATGCAGCAGAAAGAACCAGTAATTGGTTCTTCCTGTAATCACGAAGGCCTAATGCTGTGCTCATTAAGGTAATTGTTAAAAGTGTCTTGATGTCAGCAGTGTGGGATTGAGCCCTAATATGTATTGGACATATGTGTCACACGTGAAAGTTAATAGATGAGAGGCACAGGGAAATGCAGAGAAGCTGCTCAGAAACGCATCTTTTCTTTTCAAGGACTGAATACTGTTTCCTTATCTCTCAGACGCACACACGCAGTGAAATGGCTGATCCGATCCAAGGCTCCTCGTGTTCCAGGATAACGGCAATACCTTAGTCAGTGATGGGAGATGCAGTGAGGAAAAGGCAAAGCCTATGGATACCTTAGCCCAGTGAGGAGAAAAACCATTTTTCCAAACTGGTGAAAAAGAAAATGAGAACACATAATAATTCTATGTGCCACACAATAGAAATGTGCTGTTAGAATCATATGAATTAATTACAATATCGAATAAGAAATCTCTGACTTCATTTCTTGAAAAAGCAGTTCTTGTGCAGGAAGACAGAGCTGGATAGGGATTTAGTAATTTAGGACCAGCTGACATACTGACTGCATGAATAGTAGGTTTCACAGGATAATACATTTTCACCCAAAATAGATTCCTAGGTTTATAACTGTAGCTCATGTGCTTTGCTAGTATAAACAAATGAAAAGGCCTGGACTTTCTGTGAACTATAGCAAACTAAAGCAACTACAGGTCTCTGACCACTAACAAATTTTGGGTTACATTTCAGCAACTCCTCTCCCACTCTCTGACTTTTCATCCTCTACCTTCTCATCTGAGATTCTTCCACCCCATAGGCTTTTTATCTTGAGCCTGATAATATAGTTCCCTGCCTGTTCTGGCTCTCTCTCCCCAGTGCACCAGCTGTGTCTCTGTACTCTTTTATTTTCGCCATCTGAATTCAGTTCACTTTCTATAGTAGGCTAAATTCTGGACTTAGTCAAAGTAATAGAATGTGAATTGATTTCTTTTGCTGTTTTTTCTTTAAATAAATATGAGGGCAGCTAAGACCACATATGAGTACAAGACTTAGGTTTCTGATTTTAATATTTATTTATTATAAAAATGTCTATAAACTAATGAATGTTCGTTGTGCCAGATACTACAAAAATAGTCTAACCCTCTAAATAATCCTCAACACTGTTCATTTCACTTCTATTCCCAACGATTTATAGGGAAACTAGTGTAATATGTATCTTTTGTTCCTTCATTCTCTGTTAAGGGGAAGCAGGTCTAATCAACATTTGTGAAATGTCTCCTTTCTCTCATTTTCAATCATTCATAAATCACAATCGAATGCTCTTGCAGGATTACATCCACACAAAACCGGGACAGGAATTTAGGTTCCTACTGTTTGTTGAACTGATCCAGAATTAAAGCTTGCAAGCAGATTCACATCTGCGGATTTGAATCCAAACGTCTTCCATAGAAATTCAAAGAGGATCAGATTTGAGGTTCTGGTTTTGCACCACTTCTAATCCTAGTAATTTTAACTAAATCCTAATAATGTTAACTAAATCCTAGCCTCAGCTACAGAACTGTACCATTTTAATCAAGACCCTACCAACAAATCTGAAAGTGAAAATAGGAAACGGAGAGTTTTCCTGCCAGTTGCAGCTAGTGCCATTCCTTAGTAATTCTTGTCATTATTAAGTATTGAAAGGAAGCTATTTTTTTCTCTCATTCTGCTTCTGCACTGTTGTGACTACTAATTTCAGTGCAGTTATCCCAAATTCACCCTAGTATAGGCAAGAGAGTCCATCTTAAAGACTCAGAGTCAACATAGTCATACGTAAACAACATTARTTCACTTACAGTCTCTGTTCTTTGACTATATAGATATATACCTAGAGAGAAATTATGATTGGTATTAGACTTTTTTAGGCATTGTCTTGATTCAGTTTGAAAGTCAAATATGGCTCCACAGACAGACAGGGTGTCAGGGCAGCTAAGGCCTCCATCAGTTGGTTAGTTTGGCTGACTTAGGTACGCAGATTTACACACAAGATACCTTTGCCTGCCCCCACTGTAGGAAAGCTGACTACAAACTTCAAAGTTAATGGACACAAAAGGCAAAAAAAGTCAACCAATTTACTGTATCATCATTGATAGATATACATAAAAGCAGCCATTAAATCACATTGCAAACTAGGAGCTTTTTTAGTTCAATTTAACAGCTTAATTTTACAATGCATGGGGGGACCGCAGTTCTCTGCATTTATAAATAATGTGACCTCCATGCTTGCTTGTTAATAATATACCTGGGAAGCAGAAAACTTGTGTTTGATCTTGCTAAGACAGGAATCCCTTTTTGTACCTATAGAATCACACCAGTGCTACCAATTGAAAGGTGGCACTCCCATCATCATAGCATGACACACTGTTATGTGCTGTTGTGTTTGCAGAGTGCCGCACTGGAAGCATCGGATGGCAGTATMTGACTTACTCCAGCACGCAGAAAAGCTGGATTCTGCGTCTGAGAAGGGCTTCTTGGTCTTTCTGCAGCCCCAGTTCAGAGGTGAGACTTTTGTTGACTGGTACTGATGTTATTTGCCCTTAACTTTTATGGAGAGCCAAGGCAAGGTAAATGGCCATGTTGGCATCTGCATTACTTCTTTGAGCAAGGCCGAYAGGGCTGGCGCTTGGCTGAGCCCGCAGCCCGGCAGTCTGCGGTACCACTTTCACAGGGAGGAGAAATGGGTGCCGCAGCCCAGTGTCTGCACCCGCAGGGAGAAAGCAGCCACGGGGTCTTTCCTACCAGCCTGCCCTTGCTTTTTGAATTGAGCGTTTCTCTACTGGGTCCCAGACAATGGCCCCAACAACAACTCACGCAGCTGGGCAAGCTGTTACCCCAGATACTCTTACATTGTGCCTGTCTCATTGCCAGTAACCATGCTGTCAAGGTCTTTTTCTTAATATATATTTATATATAAGTATGTGTGTGTATACATATTATATAKAAATATATTCCTCTCTTTCTCTCTTTCGTGGTTCTTTTTCCTTCGAGTTTGCACCCCCCGCCGCGATCCTGACGGGCGCCATCTTCTCCGGCCGCTCGGGAGCCGCCGCAGGCGCCATGAGCCGCTTCCCCGCGGCGCAGCGCGGCCCCCCGCCGGGGGAGGCTCCCAACGGCCGCTCGCGGCGGCTAACGGCCGCTAACGGCCGCGGCACGGCGCTCGCGGCACGGCGCCTGCTGCCGCCTGCGGCTCTTCCCGACATGGCCTCCCTGCCCGGGCATGCGGCCGCTTGTAAAGCAATGCTTTTCTTTTACTTTTTATTTTTAAGTTTATTGATTTAGTTAGAGGACTTTGTGAACACTGCTCTTTTCCTCTGTCCTCTCTTCACAGTGCCTCTGCTCGTCTCCCTGCAAGCTAGTCCAGTTTGACAGCAGCTGAAGGGAGCGAAGGATGCAGAGCAGCAACCTGAGGGGCTTCTTGGCCATGCTCCTGGAAGTGTCGCTGCTTGTGCTTTACTTGGGTGGTCTGCACAAAACCCTGGCCCTGAACAGCAGCTCCATTGGAGAGCCAGGAGCCCTGTGTTCCTGCCACCACGGTGGCATCCTGGCTGGTAAGCCAGCAGAAGCTCTGCAGACAYTGGGAAGTCTGGTTGCCACCAGCCATAGCTCACACTTCTCCTGCAAGACAGATCCTGGCACACTCACCAGCCAGCTGCCATTCACGCTAAGGGTTAGTCCGCTAGTGACCTGCCTCATAAGTACAAGCTCTTTTCCAGAAACCCAACAAAAGACCTCTTAAACAGATTAAATCAGATGTTTTCCAGCTGCATGCAAAAGACTGGGATGTTGATGCCTGTACCTTGGCAGCTTGGAATAATAGTTTAAATCTTTCTCACCTTCTCCCATATGAGCAGAGGTGGTATTTAACTATAGGAAAGTGGTGATTGGGTAATGATTTGGATACAATTCCAGAAAAAATATGAGCGCAAAAGCGTTAGCAGCAGCAAAAGCAGGTATTCTGCCTAATGCCCTCAGCAACCATTAAGAAACATGAAAATCTAATTGTACTGAATGGAAATGTACGTCTTCATCGCTGATTATGACACGGAAGAAAATTACTATATGATTGGCATCATAATGGCCAATGTTGAAATGTGATGACACGCCAATATGATGTACATCTCCATTAGGAATGATAAATCAAAGGTTATTCATTTGTGCTTGATTTATGCTTGGGAAATGCTACCAAGGGAAATCTTGATTTAAATCTCTTAAGTCATAAAAAAGCCACGAGTGCCCTCTTCTGGAAACAAGTGAGCACTGTAAGCTCCAAAGTACTTTTCCCTCTTCTATTTTTTTTTTTTTTAATTTCTATATATAATTTAAATTTTAGGTTTTTCTTTATCTTCTCTACCACCACCAGTCTGTGACATTTCTAGTAATATAATTCATTGTCAAATTCTTTTTTTTTTTCCTCTCTTTCAGGCACAGACTGGATAACATT